AAATAACTTTTTAATGAACGAACCAGTAAGTAATATCAATTGAAGATAGAAGTAAATGGTTTTTTTTTCAGATAATTTCAAAAATCCCGAACAAATATCATTTATGTCTTTTTCTAGCTGTTTACGAAAAGATTTATTAATTTTACATGATAAGAAAAAGTGGGTTTCATCATCAACCTCATTAATATGACAATATTTACTAATATTATTTTCTCTTTGAATTCTTTTATAGCTACCCCTCTCTTTTTTCAAGAAATGGTCACTTACTTGCATTAAATTTTCGATTTTCAAAATTTTGTTTAAGAATGTATTTGTCTAATTCATATTTTGTCTTAATTTTACTGTACAAGAACATTTCACTTTATCATCATCTCCATTATTTATTTTAAATTTGAATTTTTAAAGTATTTACATTAACTTATTATTTGATTTATTTCCGACTGAGAAAAAGGTGTAAATAGGGATTGACACTAAGCTGACAGTTTTGTCATTCACTTATCGAGAGCATTTGTTGTATTTGCGGAGAGAACTTTCCTTAATTTCTGTCGATTGGTTAGGGACCCCCACACACACGTCATGTATGATTCAAGACATTATGATTATCAGCTAAAAGTTTATAAATTCCCTATGTAAAACAAGCCTACATTTTCTTTTAAGATTGCCTGTATAATGCACACATAAATAGTTCAGACATTAATACTAGTTAAAAGGGGTTAATGCGAATAAACTGTTTAACTTTTCATAATATGAGCAACATAACGACACCTATAGACATTTACTCATATTGAGTTGAACGGACAACATTTTATTCTTTTGTTTTCTATTTTTATTTTTATTCAATGTTATACAATCTCTTGTCCTTCACATGTTAATTAATCAGGGACGTGTCAATAGTTGTCAATTAAAAAGCTTGAAGAAACTATCCATTCTCTTACAGATCAGTTTTTTGTCTTTTGTCTTTTTTGTTAGTTGTATTTGTGCAGATGACAATCGTATTTAGTTACTCCATTTCCATCTCATTTATAGCTCATATATTGATCTTTTATACCAATTTACCAGGAGAGCGAATTGTTAAACGCACAGTAACATGTTTGTCGTTGCCACTATCGTAAATGCCTGTCCTAAGATAGGGGCCGGGTATTTGAATTGTTTCACGTTTTGTCATGCATAGGCCTGTTATAGCTAACTTTACAGTACCAGTATGTGTTTTGCTCATTTGTGAATGCCGTGAATACCCATATCAATGTTATTAACCTGTCTGAAGGACTCGAACTCGTATAACATTGAATAAAAATAAAAATAGAAAACAAAAGAATAAATACAGTTTCGAATGTGTCCAACAAGGTAATATTTAATTTGCGCGACATTAAAATACTATCGCTTGTTTTGCGCAATTTTTGAGGTAAAAAAAAACGATTAAAGTTTCTAGATCTTAAATATACGAGTCTTATATAACAAATTAGTATTAATTTATATAGTAAATATGTTCGAGGTGACAAGATGGACATACACATTCAAAGACAAACTGGTGACGTTTTTTTTCGTAAATGTTCGATCTAGAAAATCATCCAGTGGTCGACATTTATGAAAGATCACCCTAAACTAAAGGCAAACTATTGTCCTATACAAATACACAAGAACCGTTGCATACAAAGGTGTAGGGCACATATCCCCTGTCTTTTTTTGACCCACAGTGTAATAACCTTAAAGTTGTCAAATCCTACAGGTAATATAATATCAAAAGGTTTGTATTAAATATATGACTTTTGTATATAAAATATTGTTTACAATTTTATTTCCATAACTGATATAAGAAGATGTGGTATGAGTGCCAAAGAGACAACTCTCCATCCAAGTCATAATTTGTAAAAGTAAACCATTATAGGTCAAAGTACGGCCTTCAACACTAAGCCTTGGCTCACACCCAACAGCAAGTTGTAACGGTCCCAAAAATGACTAGTATAAAACCATTCAAACAGGAAAACCAACTGTATAATCTATATAGAAAACGAGAAAGGAGAAATATTTATGAACCACACCAAAAAACGACAACAATTGAACATGTCGAGGTTTCTGACTTAGGACAGGTGCAAACAAATGCAGCGGGTTTTTATAGGCGCCAACCTTCACCCAACCTGGAACATAAGTTCTAAATCTAAATGTTTTTAAATGAGCGCTACACGTGTACTACTATTGGTGGTATTTTGATATACAAGTGCAAATTCTAAATGTTTTTTTCTTCTTCAAATTTTGCATCGATGGACGTCGCTAACCAATATGAACTAAATGGTGATTTGGTAAGAACACTTTACGTAAAACATGACTTCTACAAACACAGAGATGTGACAGTATGCATTATTATCGCACCTCGGGTAAATATCGACGATATGATTGGTTTAACGCGTCACGTGGTGACCACGTTCTGATTTTTAGGAGTTAGTAGATTTCATAAGGACACTATGATGTCACGAGTACTACTATTTGTAGTTCTATTTCATTTTTATTTTCAACTTTTGATAAAAAAAAAACTTGACAGGAAAAGTTCCCTGTGCGACAAATTCGTCATACGGTTCGCTAATGACCCTTACGGCCTCACCTTATGAATTTACTAACCGTCTTTGGATCCGTCACTAATCTTGCTCGATTCCTGTGATCAGTTTCACAAAAAAAGTCGGACGACTAAGTTGACCGTAAGTATACTGAATTTTTCATGACTTACGATCATCTTTTGTCGTAATATTTTTTTTGAAACTGACCACTGCTTCCGCCTAACCGTAGTATGTATGCGCGTGATGATGATAATAATGTTGGCAAACTGACATGCTTATAATATTACTGATAAGTACGGCTATTATCTATTGTAGTTACTTGTGTCTGTATTAAAATATCGCAATTGAACGATAGTTAGTGAAAGTCTCCTTTCTTAATCTTCGTTAAATGATTAATTCATGTATTTTATACAATGTTTATAATGATACATGTTTTAATAATGGTTTGAATGGTGCTTTCATTACCAGTATTCTTATTTTGACTCAGTGTATTGCGTATACTGTAGGCTTATCAACACTAAAGTGTATATGTACCGTTAATTTCATTGCCTTCATGGTGCTATTTAGATAAAATCAAGTTATTATAAGTTCCAACGATGGTGATTGGAGTCATGAAATATTTTAGGAAAATTCACAAAGTGGTTTTAAAAGAAAATCACATAGCCCTAATAATAAAAAAAAACCAAAAAAACAACTAATACTGATGCACAAATGACAATATTGTTGAAAAATATGGAAATCTGTTCTACTAAATATTTGAATATTTGTACAAACTGAATGCATACGTCAAAACATAGTATTCAAAGTTATTAAAGTGAGCTATGTGAGAGCTTAACGTCGTCGGCAATGCTAAAACATCATGGCCCTGATAATTCATGGTACTTGTAAAATGCAAATTGTAAAGTTGTTGTGTATTCGCCTTTATCATATACTTGTATAAAATATTACTAAAATTTTACAGTTCAATAACATTTAAAAATATTAAAAGGCTATGAAAGGATTACTAGGTTTATTTATCAGATTCCTAAGAATTTCCTCAACAGGCTAATAAAGGAACCTTTATTGACTGCTTCCGGAATGTTATCACATGCCTTTCCATCAATTTCCGTGACGTTTATCACATGCAACGTCGTGCATTTCCGGAAAGGAGTAGGTCCGGTAAGACCCCTTTTTGGCCCCAAAATATAGCAGTTTTACAAAATGGTTAAAATGTAAACTTTTAGTTATTTATTGGAAAGTAGAATACTTCTGCTACATAAATATGGGCAGTTTTTGACAATACAATGCATATATATCGGGTACTAGCATCATTAAGTCATGCTAAATTACTGAATTCTTCACAATTTTAGCATTTGAGTTACATTTTAGACGGTTTCCGTCTTAAATGGAAGTGGCCGCATTTGTGTTCATTCTTAATATTTAAATGCAAGTTGTATTTGATGATAATACATAACATATATAAAGGTTGAGAGTGAACACGGATGCGGCCTCTTTCATTTTTGACAAAAACCATCTGAAAAGTGACATATTATGGCATATTTGATAGATTTTTCATATTTAAGCTTGAATCTGAGCGTCTTTAATGATAAAATCAGTTCAAATCTGTCACTTAAACTAATTGATTCGACTGAAGTAGACACTTAAGTGTTTAAAAAGTGACCAAAATCTTTCATCAGATAAATCTGAAATCTGAGGCCAAAATCGGCCCTTACCGGACCTACTCCTTTGTTCGAAAACGACAACACAGTGCGGAAAACCGAAAGTGATTTAAGACTTAAGAGACAAAAAACGAACGTACAAACCGAGACAAACAACAACTAACAACAAATAGCGCTATTCAGGATTTATCATCTCCGGGAATGCTCAAATAATCAAATATGAAAGACAAAAATGTAAAAAACATGAAAACTAGAGGAGCTATAGGATCAAAAAGGGGCCTATTTACATGTTTGTTTACTCTGAATTAATTTCTGCATACGATAATTGAAACATCCATTAATACTGAGCTTATGATACCGTCGATACTACACAATGTAACAGTCTAGCTTCAAGCAACGTTATCTACCAAGTGTAATTAAAACAAATGAACACGATACATATGGTGTGCCCGTGAAGCTTCTCTTGATTAATCGATAATCGTGTAATCTGAGCTACATGAAACTTCTGTAAATATGAAATATAAGTACTAAAAGATTGTAAAATGCACACACCTATCCTGCATTTTAGAAATAAAAACAATCTTATTAAATGTGGCCAACGGTAACGCTCTGGCCTCGTCTACGAGGGGATCGGATTGTTAGTATAAAGAATATTTTATTGTAAAAATAATAACATTAACATTACAAAAAATGCAGTTTACGTCAACATTGGATAACGAAGAAGTTCTACTTATTAACTGAGGGTAATGATATCTATATTCTATCGAGAATGCTATATAATAAACATAAGACATTTGAAATATTTCATTTATTAATTATACCAAACTGCTTAGTTCAGTAACCATCCAGAAAATGTTGTTTTACCATATTCATTACTGTTTATAATACCCGAACCTTCGTGGGAAGAGTGTATACGAACGTAAACGCTACCGCCCTTCGACACATGGGCAACAACAGTACCGCTAACTGTACCATCGGAATTTGTGTTGCGAAGGTAAAGGGATCCATACACGGAATTATTAACCATTAACTCAGTTGAATGTCTTGCAGAATACAATCTAACAACCCACACAAACACGTAAATCCCAGTTTTGGGACAGATAAAAACACCTGTATGGCTGTTATATCCACTACCCTGGTTTGTTTTCACTACATCAAATATCAGTCGTCGACCAACCCCCGGATTTTTTATCATTTTTGACACGAAGGCGTAAAATGCAATAACTGGCGATTCAGGATTTTCTTTACCATTTTTACCACAGTAATTCACAGTGACATCATACTGACCTGAAATTGTTTCAAAATTGTTTTATTTAGACTTATTAAATTCAGACACATAAATTGAGAAAAAAAATGAGTTTTTTTTTTCTTTTGTGAGTGCATCACTTTCGTCACTTAAGACTTTCATGTAAAAATAAATGCAAATATCTAAAGTAAGTTACTTAAAGCTAAAACTTGTATTGTGTATTTTCATTCGCAACTGTCATTTACTCAAGTGATAGAACTATTGCAGTTTGATACGCAAAAAATGACCCCGATGCATATAGGTAAGGTCATATTGTATTTTCGGTTAAGTAAGTACCGATAATCAGGTTTTCTGTATATTGATAAAAAAAAATCACAGCTGCGAATCACAATTAGAAGAGATTGTGTCGAGTCAGTGCAGCGAACTAGTCATAAAAGGCTTTGAGATATTTTGTCGAGCATCTGATATTTTAAAATATCAATATGATGAACATCAGATAATCAATCTATTGAATTGTATTTGACTGTGTGTTTTTCAATTAAGAATATAATGCTTTTTTTTTTGTAATTTCATTTGAATACCAACGGTTGACCAGCGTACATTTTGTATAAAACGCGGAAGGGTCTCATTTAAAAAAAAATGTGCAAATAATCAAAACTTTTACAACCATATAAAGTTAAAAAAAAACCACACACACTCTATTCTTTTAATTACATGTATATACTACAACCATGCTATTGCTAATTACATTAGCTATTATTAGAGATAAGCAGAAAATTATTGATAGAAGTTCAATGTACAGGTAACGCAGATACATTGAATTACAACAACAATACTAAATAGCTATTTAAAAATAAGGGGATGCCTTATGATTGCCAATGAGACAACTATCCACCAGAGTTCAAATGAAGTGGATGAAACACTTATAGGCAATCGTACAGCCTTCAGCAATGAGAAAAACCCATACCGTATAGTTGGCTATAAAAGGCCCCGGAATGGAAATAGATAACAATTCAAACGCGGAAACCAAAGGGCTAATCAATAACAAAACAATTTATAAAAAAACAAATATGTTAGACATGAACCAACGACAACGACTGAACCACATGCTTTTGACATGGGACAGGCACATACAAAATGTGGCAGGGTTAATCCTCCTCTGACCTTGAACAGTGATGTAACAGCACAACATAAGAACAAACTGTTAAAATCAGTAGCAATTTGCTTAACTCAAAAGATCGGTACGGGACACAAAACAATTAATCTAAAATCAATAGAAACAAAGCACCGAAGTAATAGTACTGTCTGGCAGTTACTGAAAGCTAGTTCAAAGCCAATTACAACTAATAACTAATTTTTATAGATAGTTTTAAAAACTGACATCATCCCTAATATGCTATAAATTTGAAGGTCACACTTTCGTTCATTTATCTTGTTTTGATTTCGTCTTAATTATTTTGACCATCAGGACGACTGGTGTTCAATAGCACTCGATATGCCAGTTATATCGGATGGCGGATTGTAAAGCTTTAGTTTTCCAATTATTTCGTGTTGTATTGTTTAGCTTATTCGAAGTGGTTTCTGTTATGAATTAGTATTGTTGGTTATCATCTAAACCTTACCTACTTACCGTCTGTTGTTCGGCAAGAACTCATCGAGCCTGCATAGGTTACCATATTAAGGGCCACAATCCAAGAAATCAACATGCTTGTTAGAGATATAACGACTGACAAATGCTAGCGTGATCTATCTTAGAACAGCTTTTTGTATGTGTGATTCTCAAAATTATAATGTATATTTTGCGTGCTGAGGTTATGCAATTTGATACCGAGAAAAAAAAATGAAAAATATACTTTCGGTTTAGTCTAGTACAAGCTGTGTAATGTATATTTCATTACCATGCTATTCACTTGATTATTCTTGTAATATTTCCAACTTGAATAGAAACTTAAGGAACGCCACAGCTGCCTTGTGATAACGATATTCATAAGGCAGCTGTGGCGTTCCATAGAAACTGTCACCAATTAAATATATTTAGAGGTCCAAAAGTAGACTTATGTATGTTATGTGGATGAGGTTTAATTCCCTATGAGACAACTATCTACTAAAGATCAATTGTTACTGAATAAGGATACACTGGGTATGATTATAAATTGTCGGGTGCAATAGGCTACTTACAAACACCTTCAAAGAGTTTAGTTGGTGCGAATTCATTCCGCTAGCAAACAAAACGTAGACGGAAACCGTAGACTATAGAAATTTTCAAAGAGAAGAAGTCGTTGTAAATGTTTTCCTCTGGCAAATTTAAATATATTCACAATTACAAATGATGAAAAATGAATGAATTGACCTTTTTTTCCCCTAAAAATAGGGGAGAATCATTTCATGATTTGTCGCTGTAAACTACAAGGCGTAATGCTATATAAGAACATTTGTTACAGTTCAGATAAAGATGCTAGAATAGTTATACAATATATGAGGGTATAGATGGGGTTTGTAGAATAGTTATACAATATATGAGGGTATGGATGGGGTTTGTAGAATAAACAATAAGGGCCAAATATTATTATGATTAAGAGAAAAATTAGCCAAAGAATAAAGAATAAAGAATAATGGCGTACAAGAAAATAACTGTTGAAAATTTAAGAATTATGTAATATAAAACTAAATTAATACAATGACCAATATACAAATATAGAAAGCATATTCTTGGAAAAAGAATAAATAATAAAATTAGTTTCGTGAGTATTTTACAAAATAAGCGTTATTTTTAAAGACAAAAAAGAAAACAAAGCACTCAAAAGTCAAAGAATACAGAAATTAAGGACCCCCATCCAGACCCTAATAAATATATATATATATATATATATAACACTACGACTATTGAAGTTATATGTTTATATAGCGGATGCAGTCGAGTGGTCTAGAGCGCTGGACATGAGGCTAAGCGATTGGTGCTGTAGTGTATCAAAGGTGTGAGTTCAAATCCCGTTGAGGGACAAACATTTGTCAGATCATGGCATATGAGTAAACAATCTTTAAAAATCATTGAATCCAGGAGTCTTATAAGTTTACGTATGATATTACATAGGCAAATTTTAATGAATAATTTTCACGGATGTATTTGAGAGGGGTGAATCGGCTGGGTACTACCCTAAAATTGTGATGGTGTTACGAGGGCGAGAATCATTAGGAATTCATAACTTAATCGTCTTTAAAGTGTTGTTAAGAAAACAAATATGCATTTTCATATAAGAAGCAAGTTCAACGCACATAAACCTATGCATTACATCACCCAATAATTTAGAAAATAACAAAATCTAGCAACAATAACACAACAAAACACCCTCCTCCCCCCTCCCAAAAAAAAAAAAAAAAAAAAAAAATCAAACAAAACACAAATAAACGCACCCATAAAACACACGGCAGAACAAACAGCGATTCGCATTTTAAGTCTTTAGTTTAAGGCGATTATCCCCGAAACAAATTTTAGGTCTTCGTATACTATTTCTATAAATAAAAAATTGTGCTGTTGAATGTATTACTGACATCAAATTTGAATTCTCCTCAAGGGTGACTGGTTGATAAAAATATGGTCAGTTTGGTCTTCTTCCGACTGTCAGTGAAACATTCCTCTTGGTTGTGCAGCTAGACTCAAGCTAGCAGCCACTCGCTAGCAGCCACTTCGCTAGCAGCCAGTTTTCAGATATGTCTATAAACCCAAAAGTTGCATAAGATTCAAACTTACTAAAACGTTTTTATTTTATATAACCACTACTATATCTGTTTTATCTTGAATTTAGAAGTCGAAAACACTATTCAATAAATTTTGAAATTTCACTTCCTGATCAATATTTTAAAAACAATAGTATGTGCTTTTAACATCATGCTGCACGCTTTAAGACTTCAACTGTCAACACTAAAAAAATAAAATTATTTAAATGTTGGCCAAATTTTCTTGTTACATGGTATCGACTTTTCCATCAGAATATTAATGCGATATTGTGTGAAATAGCTTTCCATATTCTCGGCATCCTTAAAAGTAACAATATTTCTACACTACAAGAATACAAAGTTGCGTCCGTACTTTAATACTTTCATATCAGACAAATCTGTTTTCGCAATTATTCTCTTTCTGTAACAGTGAGTTTCGCTTAGTTTTCATGACACGTAGGGTCTATTTTAAGCAATCAAAGTATGGTGTACAAGGATATAACTAATAAGCTATATTACCAATTTGAATTTTTTTTTGCTATACCCCACCTGGATTTTTAAGTCAAGCATGTCTAAGGGTCCCAACTTTCATTTGCACCTAGTGTGGAAAAAAGTATTGCCGTAGGAAAATTTTTATTAACTTTTAAAGTTAGGTTGGGGTAGGGTGTCAGACCCCAACTTTGGACCAATTTTAAAAAAAATCCGACGTGCTATACCCCACCTGGATTTTTTAGTCAAGCATGTCTAAGGGTCTCAACTTTCATTTGCATCTAGTGTGGAAAAAAGTTTTGCCGTAGGAAAATGTTAATTAACTTTTAAAGTTAGGTTGGGGTAGGGTGTCGGACCCCCAACTTTGGACCAATTTTTAAAAGAATCCGTGCTATACCCCACCTGGATTTTTTAGTCAAGCATGTCTAAGGGTCCCAACTTTCAGTTGCACCTAGTGTGGAAAAAAGTATTGCAGTAGGAACATTTTTATTAACTTTTAAAGTTAGGGTGGGGTAGGGTGTCGGACCCAAACTTTGGACCAACTTTTAAAAAAATCCGTGCTATACATCACTTGGAAATTTATATTTGCATTCTGAAACGGATGGTATTTTGAATGTCTCTGAATCCATCAAGACTGTGGGTTTAATTGTCTTAGAGGCAAATAACCCATCAACGGTTTTTTTTTAGAGTTGACCACTTTGAATTTCTCTGTCGATTGTTACTTGTTTCTACTATTTTTCTCCACAACACTTATGCCCTAGACCCGAACGATTTTGTCAGCATAGGGTTGAGAAGATGATATCTGTATGTCACGTAGTCCAACTAATTATAACTAATTATTAAAGGTACGAGGCTTATAATTTGATACATCAGACGCATCAGTGACGCTCAGATCAAACAAGTATAAAGCTGAAGAGCATTGAGGACCCAAAATTCCAAAAAAATGTGCCAAATACGGCTAAGGTGATCTACAAATGTATGCCTGGGATAAGAAAATCCTTAGTATTTCGAATAATTCATACTTTTGCAAACAGTTAATTTATAAAAATGACCATATAATTTATATTCATGTCAACACCGAAGTGCTGACTGCTGGTGATGTAAACTACGGCGGGCTGTTTAAGACAAGATCGAGATTATCCACGTCGGTCTGGAACCGGACGTAGAAAAGGTAGAAATTGCCTCTAAATTGGTTTAAGCACTTACTTACTTACATACGAGCTTGTCAGCATAAGGGATGGGGTGAAGTAGGGTACCTTACATGTTACATATTCCGAGTAAACTATTACCGGCTAGCCAAACTAAAAGATTCACCACGTTGGCCATGATACCAGAGAAAGAAAAAGACAGTGCCCTTAAAATGGATCATATCACTGATGCTCTATACCCATACACTTTGAAGGCATATGGTGAACAAGGGAGGGGGGGGGGGGGGGGTGGGAGGGGGTGGGTGGTTACCTGTTATATATCACATAGACCAACTTAACTATTGCCGGCTACTAAAAAACTAAGACTTTCTAAAATGACCCTTAGTACCTTAGACCCTTGGCGGATCCAGGGGGGGGGGGGGGTTTGACGATCAATGCATTTGAATGGGGACATAATGTTGGAACCCCCCCCCCACCCCACCCCCCACCCCCCTTATCCTGGGTTAGGAACAACAACCCCCCCCCCCCCACACCCCCTCGCGCGCCCATTTATACATTTATAAATGGCTGGATCCGCCCCTGATGCCCTAGACCTGTACGAGTGTGTAAGCATCGGTTGGGGGGGGGGGGCTTGGTATGTCACGTAGTCCGACTTTACTATTACCGACTGGCCAAACTAAAAGATTCTCCACGTTGGGCATGGTACTATATAATTCTTTATTCTCTAAAAGCATTCATAAATAAAAATCAACATGCAGACATCTTATACGTTCATGTATTTCAAATCCAATCTTTTATGGTAATATTCTATACAAAGCACAACAATATCGTCATTCACCTCAAAAGCTAACCAAATCTATAAACACACTTATTCAGAAGGGATATAGTTACGATACTGTTGTCAGGTATAAAGCTGGCATATTTTGGAATTAATATTGATTTACTCAAAGGATTTTTGAATCGGTAATAGACACATTCATTCTAAAACCAGTTTAATAAACTACAACCGGCTAGCCAAACTAAGAGATGCTCCGCCCGTATGAGTTTGTCAGCATAGGGTTTGGGGTACCGGGTATGTAACATGGTCCGATTAAACTATTGCCGGCTCGCCAAACTAATAGATTCTCCACGTTGGCCATGGTACAAGAGGTAGAAGATATTGCCTCTAAAATTGCGCTTAGCATTCATGCACTTGACCCATACGAGCTTGTCGCTATTGGGTGAAGGGTGGGGCTTGTCGCTATTGGGTGAAGGGTGGGGGTACCTGGTTTGTTACATAGTCTGACTTAACTATTGCCGCTTAGCCAAACTAAGAGAACATCCACGTTGACCATGGTACTAGAGGTAGAGGTACAGATTGCCTCTAAAATGGTTCATAGCACTTATGCCCGTACGATTTTTTCAGCATAGGGACAGGAAGTTTGGGTACCGGGTTTGTAACATAGTCCGACTTAACTATTGCCGGCTGGCCAAACTAAGAGATACTCCACGTTAGCCATGATACAAGAGGTAGAAGAAGACATTTCCTCTAAAATGGCCATTAGCACTTTTGCACTTGACCCATACGAGCTTGTCGCTATTGAGTGAAGGGTGGGGGTACCTGCTTTGTCACATAGTCTGACTTAACTATTGCCGCCTGGCCAAACTAAGAGAATATCCACGTTGACAATGGTACCAGAGGTAGAGGTAGATATTGCCTCTTAAATGGTTCTTTGCACTTATGCCCTAGACCCGTACGAGTTTGTCAGCATAGGCTGAAACAGGAGAAACACTGTAGCTATTACCGGCTGACCAAACTAAGATATTTTTCACGTTAACCATGATACCAAAGGTAGAAGTATACATTGCCTCAAAAATGGCCCATAGCACTGATGCTCTAGACCAGTACCAGTTTTCAAAGTTGGGAATACCTGGTTTGTCTCATTGTCCAACTTTACCAGAGGTAGAAGTATCTATTGCCTCTAAAATGGCTCATTTCACTGATGCTCTATACCTGTACTCTTTAGAAGCATATGGTGACAAGGGGAGGGGGGTGGGGGGTCCTGTTATATATCACATTGACCCACTTATTTATTGCCGGCTGGTCAAACTAAGAGATTCTCCACGTTGGCCATGGTACTAGAGGTATAGGTAGACATTGTCTCTAAAATGTCCCATATGGTACCATACAATACTTTATTCACTAAAATCAGTACTACATGAGGTAGAGGGTGACATTCCCTCTAAGATGGTCTATAACACTTATGCCCTAGACCTATACAAGTTTGTCAGCATAGGGTTTAAGGTACCTGGTATGTTACATAGTCCGACTTTACTCTGGCCAGCTGGCCAATCTAAGAGATTTTCCACGTTGGCCATGATACAAGAGGTAGACGAAGATATTGCCTCTAAAATGACCCTTACCGCTTATGCCCTTGATCTGTACGAGTTTGTCAGTATCGGTTGGGGGGACTAAGTATGTCAAATAGTCCGACTTAACTTTTGCCGGATGGCCAAATTAAAAGATTTCAATGTTGGCTATGATACAAAAAGGTAGAGGAATCATTGCCCTATAAAATGGTACTAAGCATTTATGTCCTTTACCCAAACGAGTTTGCCAGCATTGCTTAAATAGGAGGAGGAGGGATACCTAGGTACCTAGTATGTCATATAGTGTGACTAAACTATTGCCGGCTATCTAAACTAAGAGATTCTCCACGTTTCCCGTGGTATTAGAGATCAAGGTAGACATTGCCTCTAAAATGGCTAATACTACTTATGCCCTAGACCCGTACGAGTTTGTCTGAATCAGGTGGGGGGAGGCGTGGGGGGATTTGGTATGTCACATAGTCCGACTTCACTATTGTCGGACAGCCAAACTAAAAGATTCTCCACATTAGCCATTGTACCATACAATACTTTATTCTCTTTAATTCAATACTACCAGACAAAGACGGAGACATTGCTTCTAAGATGGTCTAGTGCACTTAAGTTCTTCACCCGTATGAGTTTGTCAGCATAGGGTTTTGGGTACCGGGTATGTAACATAGTTCGATTTGACTATTGCCGGCTCGCCAAACTAAGAGATTCTCCACGTTGGCCATGATACAGGAAGTAGAAGAAGATATTGTCTCAAAGATGGCCCTTAGCACTTATGCTCTTGACCCATACGAGCTTGTCACTATTTGGTGAAATGTGGGAGTAACTGGTATGTAACATAGTCCGACTTAACGATTGCCGGATGGCCAAATTGAATGATTCTCCACGTTAACCATGTTTCCATACAATATTTTATTCTCTTTAATCCAATACTACAAAGGGAAGAGGAAGACATTGCCTCTAAGATGGTCTAAAGCACTTATGTCCTACACCAGTATGAGTTTGTCAGCATATGGTTGGGGATCCTGGCATATCACATTGTCCGACTTAACTATTGCGGGCTGGCCATACTAAGAGATTCTCCATGATGGCCATGATACAAGAGGTAGAAGAAGATATTGTCTCTAAAAGGCCCGGAGCACTTATGACTTTGACCCATACGAGATTGTCACTATTGGGTGTAAGGTAGGGGTACCTGGTCATATAGTCTGACTTAACTTTTGCCACCTGGTCAAACTAAGAGATTCTCCACGTTGACCATGGTACCAGAGGTAGAGGCGAAGATTGCCTCTAAAATGGCTCATAGCATTTATGCCCTAGACCCGTACGATTTTTTAGTCGGGTACCAGGTATGTAACATAGTCCGACCTAATTATTGCCGCCTGGTCAAACTAAGAGATTCTCCACGTTGTCCATGATACAAGAGGTTGAAGACATTTCCTCTAAAATTGCCTTCAGCACTTATGCCCTTGACCCATACGAACTTGTTTTTGATTATATACTTATGACGTGGATCTGTACTGATACATCCCGCATAGTGTTAATTGTGCTATGGTCAATATTGAGTTCTTTTCTTTCATTTTTGCTTATGTACTTTGTCTATATGCCATTTCGTGTTTCTTTGTTGAAACAGTTATTTGTTTTCATAGTGATTATATTACAATGTTGACTGCTGTACCCCGATTTTTGAAGTTTTTTTCCGATTATATCTGTTTGTTTTGCTCACACATTGTTGCCAATATAATGATATTATATGCGACTGTCATACAAGTGAGAGGTTTAGCTAGCTATAAAACTAGGTCTAATCCACCATTTTCTACATAAGGAAATGTCTGTACAAAGTCAGGAATGCCTGTACCACGCCAGGAATATGACAGTTGTTTTTTCCGTTAGATGTGTATGAGCTTTTTATTTTGCCATTTTATAAAGGACTTTCCGTTTTGAATTTCCTTTGGAGTTTGGTATTTTTGTTAATTTACTTTTTTGTCACTATTGGGTGAAAGTTTGGGGGTACCTGGTTTGTCACATAGTCTGACTTAACTAGCTGGCCAAGCTCAGATTCTCCACATTGACCATATTACCAGATGTAGCGGTATATATTGCCTCTTACATGGCTCGTTGCACTCATGCCCTAGACCCGTACGAGTTTATCAGCATAGGTTGAAAAGGGGGGAACACTGTTATGTCACATAGTACAATGTAACTATTACCGGCTGGCCAAATTAAGAGATTGTTCACGTTAACCATGATACCAGAGGTAGAATAATACACTGCCTCTAAAATGGCTCATAGCACTGATGCTCTAGACCAGTACGAGTTTTCATTATAGGCCTGGGGCACTTGGTTTGTCTCATTGTCCAACTTTACTATTATCGGCTGGCCAAACTAAGAGATTCTCCACGTTGGCCTCATAGCACTTATGCCCTAGATCCGTACGATTTTGTCAGCATAGGGTGAGGGATTCGGGGTATCGGGTATGTACCATAGTTCGACTTAACTATTGCCGACTGGCCAAACTAAGACCCTAAAATGGCCCTTAGCATTTATGCCCTTGAATCATACGAGCTTTTTCTATTGGGTGAGGGGTGGGGTGGGGTACCTGGTTTGTCACATAGTCTGACTTAACTTTTGCCGCCTTGCTAAACTAAAAATTCTCCACGTTGACCATGGTACTAGAGGTAGAAGTAGAGATTGCCTTTAAAATGGCTCATATTCACTGATGCTCTATACCGGTACACTTTGCAAGCATACGGTGAAAAAAAGTGGGGGTACCTGTTTTGTATCACACAGTCCAATTTAACTATTACCGGCTGGCCAAACTAAGAGATTATTAACGTTAACCATGATACCGGGGGTAAAAGTATACATTGCCACTAAACTGGCTCACAGCACTGATGCTCTAGACCCGTACGAGTTTAAGCATAGGGTTGGGGGTACCTGGTTTGTCACATAGTCCGACTACTGCCGGCTGATCAATCTAAGAGATTGATCACGTTGGCAATGATACCAGCGGTAGAAAAATAGAATGCCTCAAAAATGGCCCAAAGCGTTTATGTCTAGACCCGTACGAGATTTTCAGCTTGTAAGGGGTCCTGGTATCCTTGTATGTCACATAGTCCGACTTAACTAATGCTGGCTGGCCAAACTAATAGAATTGTCACGTTGGCCATGATACAAGAGGTAGAAGAAGACGACATTGCCTCTAAAATGGCCATAAGCATTTATGCCTAGACCCGTACTAGTTGGTCAGCAGGTATTTTTTTTTGGGGGGGTCCTGATATTCTGATGTCACCTTGTCCAACTTAACCATTGCCGGTTGTTCAAACCTAGAGATTATTCACGTTGGCCATGGTACCAGATGTTACCGCTTAACTGGCTAATAGTACATATGCCCTAAATCCATACGACTTTGTCAGCATAGGGTGGGAGTAACTGGTTTTATCTTTAGTCTGAACTGTTAAATATGGTTGAAAACGATTGTATATAATATGAGTACTGTATAATTCTGAAAGTGATTTAAATCCAGTAAAAAATCATGTCGGCATGTAAGAGAATTTAATAAGAACCATTTTGTAATTTTATTTGGACTGTGTCTTTACTAAAAAGCATCTGTATACTGTATTTTTGGTTCAGCTTAATGTTTAAATATAAAAGGCTATTCATTGATGTTTCAATTGGCATTTTTTATAATTTACCGAAAAATATTTGTAATTATCGATTTACGTAAGCGTTCTCTTTTTATAATTCATTAATTAAAGGTAGACCTCGAAGAAGACACCCGTTGAGTTAAGGATTTATTGTTATTTATAGCAATATCAAATATAATCAGCAAACATTATTTATCCTTATAATTGATATTTTCTTAAAACACTTCATCAAGCACAGGTCATCTCATGAATATTATCGCAGGCTCAGGAATATTATTGAAGGTTGGCCTCTTGGACAGTAAGCGGCCGACTGTTATCGTCGGTTAGCTTCCCAATAGTCATTCATGTTTACCAGGTTCTATGCAGGCTCATTTTTGGGGGCCGGCAAAATTTTATTGACATTTCCATGTTTTTAGGGTTAATTTTGGTAAAGAAAAAGGCTGCGTAGCATTGTGTTTTAAAAAAGAAATTCCTTTTTTCTCATCTTCTGCAGTGTTCTATATTTTTTCAAAATTTATTCCTCCCCCTTTCAACATGCAACGCGGTGTGCTAATAAATATACAAATGTTTTTTTGATTCTTGATAAAAAAGTGAAAATGTTAAAGTCAGTGGTACACCTCCCTCGGAGTCCCCTTTCAACGAAAAAACATCTTCTTTTTTTTCGGCATAAAATCGTTCAACAATTTTTTGCATCCCTCCGATCGGCGGTATATATATATAGTTTTTGGCAAATAGCTCCCCCTTTTCCCTTCAAAAATCCTGGGTCCACCCCTAAAACTCATGCATAGTGTCTTCGATTGTTTAATTAACAAAACGTTATATATAGTGAAAAAACAAAACAAAACATTTGAGTCTTTTGCAATTTTTGGGTTTATAGACAAATCTGAAAACTGGCTGCTAGCGGAGTAGCTGCTAGCGAGTGGCTGCTAGCTTGAGCCTAGCGGTTGTGCAGGATGTACAAGTGCATGTACGCAGCTACGTCCGGACAATGAAGACGTTAAATCTGATGCCTCGTGTAAAGAGCGTACCACATTTTCTGCACTTCATGAACCAACGCACCAACTATATTATGGGTCCGTATGTGTCTTGTTGCAAGTTAAAATGTCTGTCTCTATTCAATATACCTTCATTTTTTAGTGACAGTCCAAATTTCCCCGAATGTTGTATTTGTTGCTAATTTGTTCTCATCCTAAACATGACTGACATATTTGCTACTGGACGTTAAGCAACCAACAATCAATCAATCAAATTTGAATTACATAGACAATATACCCATAAAAGAACAGCAGACATTGATGGTTACTCATGTTACCATTCCTATCAAAATGAAAAGGCTAAGAGAATAAATGAGACAACGTCAACGCTTTTAAAAAATGACGGTCTATTTAACATAATTAGTGTATATAAAGTGCGAATCCAGATGTTTCATTTTCAGTCATATGCGAGTATTTCTATAATGTAGAATAAAGGATGATGAGGAAAAAACTGTTTATTTAAGTTTTGAAAATACAACATAATTGATTTGAATGTATTTTTTAATACAATGTCATTAGAATATGACTTTACAATGTAAAATAAAATGATTAAAGTTCAAAAGTATGTTATTAAAGGAACATGATCTAGAACAAAGTTAATGAAAGCGATTCATTTTGACATTTGGTGCGATGCATTATCACTGTTAGTGCGATCATTACTGATGTGGAATTGTTTAGGTTTGATGGACTTTCTTTGTGGTTTTGTGTGATTATTGGACATGCAAAAACTGACAATATTCATTTGATGAATTAGATATAATTGATGATATTTACAATTTAAAAATCCAAACTTACCATACAGCTTAAGCACCGTACAGTTGATTGCGGCTGTTTTTACGCGATAAAGAAGAAGCTGAGTGAAGCCGATATACGATATAAAAATAATCTGAGTTATGTACACAGTTTATATACAAAAATATAGTATACACTTTGTATGCATGTTAAGTCATCTATATTAATTTTAACTCGAACTGTACTTACTGAATGATAAACACACGCGTGTTTCATAACTTGGTCACAAACACTCGCTTAAAAATGCTTCAAAAATTAAAACATTAAATAATTTTAAATAACAACTGATAAATGAGCAGGTTAATGAGCGCATCTTCTATTAGAATGTACCAGACATACCTAGTTCATTGTAATTATTATGATTTTCTAAAAAATAGTCATCGGTTTATGAAATTGTTTATACTTTACCGTTCTTTGCGCGTTTTTGTAATAGTATTATACCCTTTGCTAAAAATATCGAGAGGAACATATGTTGCCTCTTTCGAAATTTTTTTTTTAAAATCTTTTATTTTTTTGTAACGAATGAACTATTTGACATTACTAACATTTGATATTTAAAATCAAAGCACCTGGATGTTGCGGATGTTTGATGTTGGACCAAGTGGAACCCACTCATATGGAGCATCTATTTGCAATCCAGTTTCTGAAAGATTTCGCAAAAATAACTCTAAAAATATAGTATTTCAATCTTGAGGTAAATGTCACATGAAGGTCATGATGATATGCAAAACATCGTCCTCAGTTTGCTATTAGTGTGTAGAAAATATTTGGGAGTATTAAATCCATGAGTGCAACGTATTTTAAGGCTTGTTTTCTTAAAAAAGTTGTAGTGCTTGATAAAATAAGTTTCGAAAAATTGTCAACAGTATTATTATTTCATATAATAGTAATTACATAATTTCAACATATTGATTTACTTCGAGGTGTTAAAATGCACAATTAAGAGTTAGTACAGTAATTTGCAATGAACGGTACTAAACAAAAACACCATAAAGACAACGAAACAGGACAAATTCGGAGTTTGGTTTTTAAACATGTATAAATTAAATATAACAACAGGTTTCTCATTTTTTGTGACTTTTTCCCTGGATATAAACATAAACTGAAAACGTAACCAGTCACTCAGACGTAAAATGTAGGCCGTTGTGTGAACGCTCTTTATCCAAGATGTATTCATCAATGACGTTTCGTTAGTATGCGATGTCTAGTACACTAGATAAAGACAGAAACCAAAAACTTAAGCATAGTTTTCGGTGGCAATCAATGTGCTTTACTGTGCAAGGTTTATGTATTCAATGATGAAATGTCATTAGAATGGATAAATTAAACCCTTCATATATATCCGGACGAATTATTAAAAAGTAAAATTGAACATGTTTAGTAAGAAAAGCACTTATTTTTACGCTATTCATTTTTGTAATTTGTAATATAAAAAGAAGATGTGGTATTATTGCCAATGAGACAACTCTCCACAAGAGACCACATGACACAGAGATTAACAACTATAGGTCACCGTACGACCTTCAACAATGAGCAAAGCCCATACCGCACAGTCAGCTATAAAAGGCCCCGAAATGACAATGTAAAACAATTCAAACTAGAAAACTAACGGCCTAATTTATGTACAAAAAATGAACGAAAAACAAATATGTAAC